TAAGCCAAAAGCGAAAGAACCGGATAAGGTAAGTTCCGAGTGAGTTTATTTAAGTTTGGAGGAGTTAGAAAAGAAGGAAGTAGTGTTGGGTTTGGTTGAAGCGATTAGGAAATGAAAAATGAAACTACGAAAAGAATTAGAAAGTGTTAAAAAGGAGGGGCAACAAAGTCAAAACAACTTTGATATCTATCGCGAAGGGAAGAAACTCCCCGTGGCCAATCTTCATCCTCTTACCCAACTCATTAGCAAAATCTACGATATTTTTCAGCGTTTAGGTTATCAGATTGCCGAAAGTCCGGAAATTGAGACCGAAAAAAACAATTTTACTTCTTTAAATATGCCGCCCGGACATCCTGCCCGAGCCATGCAAGATACTTTTTACTTGAATAATGACTTGCTATTGCGAACCCAAACTACTGCCATCCAACCCCGAGTAATGCAACAAAATCCCAACGCCGAAATAAAAATTATTTCGGCCGGCAAAGTTTATCGTCGGGATGATGATGATGCGACGCATACTCATCAGTTCACCCAAGTCGACGGCTTTGCCGTGGGAAAAAACATTTCTTTTAGCCACTTAAAAGGAACCTTGGAATTAGTGGTTAAAGAATTACTAGGGCAGGAGCAAAATATTCGACTTCGTCCTTCTTACTTTCCTTTTACTGAACCGAGCGTAGAGGTGGACGCGGTTTGCGTCCAGTGCCAAGGTCAAGGTTGTAATATTTGTAAAAAAACGGGCTGGGTGGAAATTGCCGGGGCCGGCTTAATTCATCCCCAAGTTTTAAAAAATTGTGGGTTTAAGAATCCAAAATTTACTGGCTTGGCTTTTGCTTTTGGTTTAGAACGGTTATTAATGATTAAATACGGAATTGAGGATATTCGCAACTTCTACTTAAACGATATTTGTTTTTTGCGGCAATTTAGGGGAATTTTTTCGATACCATATTAGAGAAAATTAATTGTAATTCTCCTCAATTCAAAATCATCATAACATACGACTTTCAACAAAAAAATTAACCAATTTGATAGTTTACACTAACTTGTTGCTAAGGTTTTTTAAAAAATAATTGCTTAACTTAATTATTTTTAGAGAACATTTTTTTCTTTATTCCTCATATTGCTTTTTTTCCTGCATTGTTTGAAAAAAATGGTTAAAAATATTCCAGTAAAAGCAACGATAAGCAAGAAGGAAAATATACTTTTTTTGTTTTTTCACCATTTGTCTTTTTGTTGAGTAACTTCTTGACTCTGTTTTCAGAGTTTAAATTTAAAATTACTACCTTCCCAAAAATCCGGGTAGTTTTGTAATTGTTCAAAAATTATTTTTGACCTTGGATTGTCTCTAACACAAGGCCCGCAAAAAAAGTGTTCTAAACTAGCGGGCAAATGCTTTCAGCCGTTATCAATGTCGGTATCGCTTATATCCAACCATTTTAATTTTTTTAGATTTTTTAAAGACTCTAAGGAACCAAAAAAACTGTTGTGATATGTTTTTCCTTCCTTTTCGAAATCTAAATTTCTACATATTTTTATTCTTAAAACTTCTAAATTGATAAAGGGTTGGAAAATTTCTATATCGGTTCTTTCATTCATGATAGTATTCATAACTGTAAAACTTTTTAATTTGGCGGGATAAGGCAATTGCCTTAAAAAATTAAAGTTAGTAAGAGAATTGTTATTGGCAAGAAATATTTCTTGTAAATTAACGCATTCACTAATATCGAGTTCCTCAATACCGCAATTTGTAATCTCTAAACTACTAATATTTTGCAAAAAACCTTCTATCTTTAATTTTCCTATTAAACCAATTCCCCAAACACGGAAATTCTTATTATCTCAATTTGTCTTCTTATAATCTTCATTGTTATAAATGACTTCTTGAATATTTTTTGGTATTTTCATTAGCTAAGAAATGGAGCAACTACTTTTATTTTTTTCTCCATAGTAATTGTTTTTTCAGTCTTTCGCTTCCTTAGTTTTTTCCTGAATTTGGGCTTCTAAAACCTCGATTTGGGCTTGAAATTTTTCTGCTTCGGTTTGATAACCCTCAACTCTCTCTTTTAAATTGACTAAACAAGTAGGGCTATAATTTCCACAAATGCCTACCAAATGTTCTAATATTTTCTTACGAGATTTCTCCCTAATTTTTGGAGCTATTTCCGCGTAATGATCTTCCGCCGCAGGATTGTCTACAAGGACAAAACCATTACAAGAATCAATTAATTCCGCTATTTTTGGATTTTTGCCTAACCTTTCAACCTCACTTTTACATTTTTCCTCATTTCCAAAACCGGGAAAATTAGTGCAAATGATAGTGGTATAATTAACAATTTGGTCGTCAAAAATTATTTCTTTCAGCAAATTGTAATTTTCAATTTCCTTTTCGTCAATTTTGCCGCCTATTACAAAAAGAATTTGGTAAATCTTGCCCTCCAAAAGATTAGAAACATCAACCATTTTCTCCAATACTTCTTTGGGACTAAGGGAAGTATCACCTATTCCTATGGTATCGATAACCCGGTATTTCAGTTGTAATTCCAAATTTTCTCTTAACTTTATCGGTAGTTCAAAATCTTCATAATTAATTTCTCTGGTGCAGGACTCACGCGAATAACTCTCCGTAAACTTTTCGGTTCCGCTTAAAACGTTAGCCAAAGTGGATTTTCCGTTACCACTTTTGCCTATTAATAATAAATTTCTAATTTCTGTCATAATTATAATTTTATTTCTATTATATATTATATAAACTTTTTTCTCTTGAAAAGAAATATAATTTATAATTTACTTTTTTGAGTTAATTCAAATTAGCAGCCTTTTTATTCTTAATTATCCGTAGAAGTTACTTTTTTGACCCTCGACTGCTTTTTTTAGTTTTTTCCGAGCAATTAACCATCTAACCAAAGCGATAATTCAGAGTATAAGTAAAATTATCGCTATCACTATTCCTATTAATAATCCGATAGCACCAGCCTTGGCTCATTTCCCGCTTGGAAATGGGATGTCATACGGAAGAAGTCCATATGTGTCTTCTGATTCAATTACCTTCGTTTTCATAAATTTTCCATCCATTATTCATCCAATAACAAAAGCCCCAACACTACCCAAAATTAATATTAAATGTAAAGAGCAGGCCAATAATCCCGTATACACTACTAACTGTATGAATAACTCTTTCTCCCGCCTGGATATTTTTTCTAATCCTAATTGCTTATTATTTTCCACTTTTTCCTATTTATTATTATGTAGTTTAGAATAATTATGGTTGTTATGGTAGTTGTTGGCATCCTACTAAATGATATCCTTATAAATCTTAACGAAATAAACCCTCCTTATTTTAAATACCGAAGATAAAGTAGACTTATACTACCGAAAAAATGAAACCAACAAATCTGGCAAGCAATTCCGTAAAATTTTACTGGTTATTCATAAATTTTGTTTTGGGGTTT